ATCGATTCCTGCCTATAGTCCTGTAAGGTGGACATTGTGTTCTCAATTTCATGATGGAAAAATCAGGCTTTAATTATAAAGTAAAGGAAGGGGCTTGCCGAGGACTCATCAATAATACAGCACAGAGGTGGGATTTGAACTCAACTCTCTGACCAAGATTCCAGGGAACCCTCATTTGAGGGGGGGGGGGGGCGGGTCTTGTCCTTTGGTCCTCCAGGATCCCCACTCTAAGGGACCTCATACTCTCCAACCTCAGGAAGTAGACCTGGGTCCTGGGCAGGCTAGACACCAGCATTGCAGGGGTGATGGGGGAACTGAGGGTCTAGTAGGGACAGCCTCCTGCCACTCCTCCATCTCCAGACTCCTCTCTCCTCCCAGGCTCTCTTGCTCTCCCTCCAGAGCTCTCAGATTCAGCACCCTTGAGGAAACCCTGTCCCAGGGAAGAGAGCACTGGAGGGGCATTCTGCTTTGTTCATACCACTGACTCCAGGGCACCTGGCCTGGCTGCCCTTCTGCCATATTCCTTTGGAAGGAGGGTTGTAGGCAGCCTTGGGTAGACTGAAATTCAACCCAACACCCCACAACCAGGCCGCTTAGACATCAGCATGGAGCATACAGAGGCCTCTCCCTTGTTGCTTTAGTTATCTTGGCTCAAGAACGATGCAGCCCAGATCTGAGGGGAAGATGGAGAGGCCATTTCCAATATTTCCTCCTGAGCTCTTCATGCCCCTGAGATTCCCCTTAGTACCCGGGAGGAGAGGGACAGAAGTCAGTGGTCTGTAAACAATAGCTTTAAGACGGATTGGGGACTGGTAAGGGAGAAGGAGGTCCCATATCCCACAGCACTGTGGTGAGCTGGCAAGGAGAGCCAAGGACTTGGACCTCAGACCCTCAGCTGAGCTCATCCCAGGCCCAGTCTCAGCCAGCTATGGGTAAATGGCCTCCCTCCCAGGACTAGGATTGCACAGCCGAGCAGAACTGCCAACCCTGAGAACCAGTTTGAAGGGTCCTCTGTCCAGGCCAGTAGGATGGGGGGCTTGCTGGCCTGGGGCTCCATAAAACTCCAAGCTTGCATTTCAAGAGCCCATTTGCCTCAGCAGAGTGGCCCTACCACGGAGCTCTCTCCAGCTTGTTTGCACTGCTGGAATCCTTGTCTCCAGTTATCATGTCTAGCGCCACACCCAGCTCTATCCTTCAGCCAAGCCACACACATGGAACTGCTTTCATCTCCCTACTTTGCTGGGCCTGCCCTTTCCCAAGGGTTCAGGGACTTCACTCCTCTGGATTCCCTACAATTTTTCTCCATCGCCCCCATGCTCAGGGACATTCAGCTGCACAGTAACCTCAGAGGAGAGGCGGGAGGCTTGGGAGCTGCAGCAGAGTGGCCTGTTCCCCAGGCCACACTAACATCAAGGAGGGGAGGACATTTCGTATGTCTCTCAGCCTCCCTCCTTCCTTCTAGAGCCTGAGGTGGTGGTGGTGGGGGGGGGGATGGGGTCACCTTAGTTTAGTCAGCAAATGTCTCTGAGCAACTCCGATATGGAAGACCAAAGGGGTCTGACTTGGTTCCTCCCATGAGGGCCTGGCAGACCAGTAAAGAGGTCATATTATTAATGACAATAGCAATAATAATACCATGACAGCACTTACCCTGTGGCAAGAGCTTCCCTTAGCACTACATACAGATTAATCATTTCCTCCTCATAAGGGCCCTATGAGGCAATAACTATCCATTTTATAGGTGAAGAACTGAAGCTCTAAGAGGTATTGGACATTGTTCTAGGAACTAGGGAGTATCAGAACTGGGGTTACAAACCCAGGGTAGCTGACTCTAGGGCAGTGTTTCTCAACCTTGGCTGCACATTAGAATCACCTGGGAATCTTTTTAAAATCCTGATTTCTGGGCCTCATCCTCCGGAAATTCTGTTTGTTTGTTATGGGGTGGGGCCACAACACTAGTAACAAAGGAACAGAATTTCCAGAGGATGAGGCCCAAAAATCAGGATTTTAAAAAGATTCCCAGGTGATTCTAATGTGCAGCCAAGGTTGAGAAACACTGTCCTAGAGGAAGCAGTATTTTCCAAGAGCCTTGCAGGGAAGTTGAACAGGCAGAGAGGTGGCAGGTCATGCAAGGTGAAAATAATAATAGGAGCAATGAGCCAGAAATAGGACATTGCCAATCAGGTTCAGAGAAGGCAAGGAGCTCAGCAAGGCAAAGACTGGGGAAGCAATGGGTCCTCTGGATGGCCAGCTTCAAGGAGGGGCAGAACTGCATCAGAGGCTGCTTTCAAATCTCACTGGGGCTGTAGGGAGAGAATACAGTCATTGTCAGGCAAGAGATCACCCTGTTCTGTTCTGTGGTGGCTGCAGTGGGAAATGTCAGAAATAATGGAGTGACTGGAATTGGTCCTGAAATAGATGCCAAGTGTAAAGGAGAATGGGATACTGTGGAGAGGGAGCAGGACACTGTAGAGGGGGAGCAGCTGGGTCAGTGGACCATTTGGTTTAGGACATGGGGAGTCTGAGGTAACTGTGGGGAAACCAGCAATGAACAAGGGGAGCCTTTCATAGTTTCAGTGTAGAGTCCATGACTTCAAAGGCTGAGAAACTGTGCCAGGAAGGAAGGCTGGAGCCAAGTTACTTAGTTAGGACTTGACTCTTCATGTAGTGGGGAGCCTTCCAAGGGTTTTTGAATAAGGGAGTGATACAATCGCATTTACATTTTAGGAAGACCACTTTGCCATGGCCACCCGGACCCTAGTGTGGACTTTTTCTGTTTTGCCATGGATTTGGCTTCAGGCCTTTGCAGTAAGCCTACCACTCAGACTCTTCAACTACCCAGAGCAGTTTCCCAAAGAATAGAAATAGCATTATATTGGAAAGAATCCAGGATTTGGAATCAGGATACCTTACTTTAAATCCAAGTTTTGCCTCTTTCTTGCTATGTGATATTGGATAAGTTGTTTAACATTTCCAAATCTCGGTTTTCTCAATTATAAAATGAGAACGGTATTAATAATAAAGCCTACTGAACATGACAATTGTGAGAGACCAATATATGAAAAAAGTATGTGAAAGTACTTTGTAAATTACAAAATTGTATACCTTTTTATGATTGAATATTTTTAATCAAGTCTGGAGTTAAAAACTGGCTCAAGAAAATAACTTCTTTATGATGTAGTGCTACACCTGTACTTAAAGTATTCTGCTTGTTAACACCAGGCTCAGATATGAATAGTTTTTTCCATTGTGGAGATATGTTAAATAAGGTTAAGACCCTATAAGACTCTGATTTCTATTGGTTTGGGTTTTTTAATACCAAAATAAAAGCTATTATCTTTACTCTTAACTGTTATAAGTTAAAGTCTTTTAAGGAAAGACTGATAGCTGAAGGAAGGTAAGTAAAAAATACAGTCAGTTTTTCATTGGAGAGTAAGCAGGAGAAAGTAAGGGAGTTTCTTGTGTTACAAGTTCTTTGGGCTGGGCAAGAACTCTTTCCTTTTGTAAATATGGATTTTGGACTGTTTTGCCTTCCTTAGTCTTAACATAACTCACTATTAAACTGGACTTCCAGGTACAGAATCTGGACCTAGATAATCTAACTAGGTAACATTTAAGAAGGCTTGTTTCCCAGCTCTTCTTGTCACATTAATGAGCCTCAAATTATTACTAAAAATTTGTCAGCTACTGCATAATTGGGACCAGCCACTAAAAATTACTCTATGAAGCCTGTTATTAGTAACATAAACAAATTGTGGAGGCACACTAGAAAGCAGAGCATTACATGAAGACAAATAATAGGTGGCAATGGGGTACATGGCATGAGAACTTTACTTTCAGCTCTTCACAAAAAACATCTCAAGATGACCCAATAATCTGGTGGGAGAAATGTGGAAGGGAAAAGTTCTGTTTCCTTATTTTTACTTTGCTCCTCTGCCTCAGAAAAGTAGGCTACATGCATGTGTAGCCTTGCCTGCAATGCTATCTTTTATTTTTTCATGTAATTAAGCCATTCTAAAAGAGAATGAGAATGAAATTTCAGAGAAAATTAAATCACTGTGAATGAATCAGGGTTGAGAAAGGTAAGCTGCTGCCCACTGATTGAATTAACTCAAGCAAAGGACAATGAGTGACCAACTGCCAAAACTATTTACAAAAATTCACAGCACAGTTTATTATATTTTCTGATTTATCTGATTGGTTATAATCATGGTATCAGAAAGCTGGTAATGAACCGCCCAAGATGTCATCTAATCCTGCCTATGCCACTCATATCCTATCTAATAATAGACAAACATGGTAATTGACCCTACCTTTGCTATGCCTCCCATTGGCTAATCAGCGTTCTATGCAAATTAACCGCCAACAAAGATGGCGGCTAATTTGCATATACTGGCTGGGAGCGAAGACTTCTTCAGTCTCGAAGACAACGTGGAAGTGAAGCGCTACAGAAGGGAGCAAAGTAGAGGCGGTGGAGACAGGAACGGAGCCAAGGCTGCAGAGGCGGGAGGCAGGAGGGGAAACCCAGCCGCAGCGGCTGGGAGCAGGAGGGCAAACCCAGCTGCAGCGGCTGGGAGCGGGAGGGGAAACCCAGCCTTAGCAGCTGGGAGCGGGAGAAAAAAACCGCTTTGCTCCAGCCGCAGGAAGCCCTATTCTTACAGGAATCTTCCTGCAACGGGCCTCTAGTTTGCTAATAAGTTGCTGTGAATTGGTGATAGATAATAATGTCTGAATGCCCCACTATTTGGCTTGCATGGCAGAAAGGTTATTAGGAATTGGGGGGAAGAGCCAAAGTGAAGCATTCCTAAGAGGGCAGATTTACAAATCTGGCCACACTTGTCCTCCATCCAAAGGGCACTTATGAGGTTAGTATATTATATAATCTTTCTGAACAAAATTTTCTCACTACACTACATTGGTCTTTATTAGTTAACATGATTTTTATTAGTGCTTTGTCTGCTGGATGGAGAAAATAATTCCTTTCTTTTGAGCCTACTTACCTGGGTTGTCATAATCATTGTCTTCCCAGTGCTCTTCATTTGCTAGCAGTGGGTTCTGTGATTCATTCATGCACCTCATAGGGAAGGAGTGTCCATCACCAGGGCTGGTGGGGAAAAGGAGGCAATGAGCTCTTGCATCTAACAGATATTTTTGTAAGGTAAAAACCCTATTATAAATAAGAAGGGAGTTCTTAGCAAGATTTAAACCATTTAGATTACTGGCTAGAGCCATAGTGGAACAGAATCTTACAATAGCATCATTTAGTTGCTGTATTGCTTTCAATTTCTATATCTTGTTTTTCTGCATAAGTGTTGACTGAGCATTGTGAGAAACAAGTTAGAGTTGCTTACAAACAAAAACATTCTATGTGTGCAAAGAACACATCATAATATTTAATGTTGATGATCCCAATTTATATCCCACTATTTTATTGATTGCTTCTAAATTTTTGAAGAGAATTAGCAGATTCAGAATCTTTGAATGCAGTGGAAATAAGTTTCTGTGAATTGGTGATATATAATCATGTCTGAATGCCCCATTATTTGATTTTTATGGCAGAAAGGTTATTAGGAATTGGGGGAAAGAGCCAGAGTGTGGCATTCCTAAGAGGGCAGATTCTGGGTGCAATTTTCTGCATGTGGAATCCATCTAATGGATATCTATGTTAATCTAGGACCACCTTCCAGGTTACTCTTTGGCTACTAAGAGATGGGATGCATTGGAGGAGACTGAACTGACTAAAGGAGGTTACAATTTGAACATTTGAGTTTTCAGATCTGAACTAGAGGCCCGGTGCATGAAATTCTTGCACAGGGGAGTGTGGGGGTCCCTCAGCCTGGCCTGCACCTTCTCCAATCCAGGACCCATTGGGGGATGTCTGACTGCCAGTTTAGGCCCAATCCCACAGAGACATCCCTCATGCAATCTGGGACTGCTGGCTCCTAACTGCTTGCCTGCCTGCCTGCCTGATCACCCCTCACCACCTCTGCCTGTCAGCCTGATCACCCTAACTGCTCTCCCCTGCCACCTGATCCCATTAACTGCTCTCCCCTGCTGACCTGATCACCCCTAACTGCCTCTGCCTCGGCCCTGCCACTGTGGCTTTGTCCGGAAGGACATCTGGAAGGTTGTCTGGAAGATGTTTGGTCTAATTAGCATATTACCCTTTTATTAATATAGATGCACTCCACATTTGTAGGAGTGACTTTTGCATTATTCATTATATATTACCTATGCTTTTTATCCTGTTTACAAATATGTTTTACTGAAAACCCTCTGCCCACTTTTTAGTTAGATTGTTTGTTTGGTGTTGAGTTGTATGAGTTATTTGTAAATTTTGGATATTAACCCCTTATCAGATGTATCATTAGTGAATATCTTCTCCCATTCAGTAGGTTGCCTTTTGTTTTGTTGATGGTTTCCCTTGCTGTGTAAAAACTTTTTAGTTTGATGTAGTCCAATTTGTTTATTATTTCCTTTGTTTTCCTTGTTGAGGAGATATATTAGAAAAAATATTGCTAAGATAAATGTCAGGGATTTTACTGCTGATTTTTTCTTTTAGGATTTTAATGATTTCATGACTTATATTTGTCATTTATTCATTTTTAATTTACTATTGTGTATGTGTAATTTGGTAGTCTAGTTTCATCTTCACGTATCTGTCCAATTTTCCCAATACTATTTATTGCTTAAACTATCTTTACCTCACTGTATATTCTTGCCTCCTAATTTATAGATTAATTGACCATGTAGGTGTGGGTTTCTTTGGGGCTTTTATTTTGTCCCATTGGTCTCCGTGTGTGTTTCTATGCCAGTACTGTGATGTTTTTATTATTATAGCCTTGTAGTATAGTTTCATATCAGGTAGCATGATGACCCCAACTTTGAACCTCTTTTTAAGGATTTCTGTGGCTATTCAGGGTCTTTTGTATTCCCATATAAATTTTAGGATGATTTGTTGTATTTCTGTAAAAAAAATCATTGGTATTTTGATAGGCATTGTATTGAATCTATAGATTGGTTTGGATAATATGAACATTTTAATGATGTTAATTCTTCCAATCCATGATCATGGTATATGCTTCCATTTATTTGTGTCTTCTTCAGTTTATTTCCTTAATGTCTTACAATTTTCCAAATACAGATATTTTACCTTCTTGGTTTAATATATTCCCAGGCATTTTATTTGTTTTCTTAATTTCCCTTTCTGATAGTTTATTATTGGTATGTAAAATGCAACTGATTTCTGAACACTATTTTTGTATCCTGATACTGTACTTAATTCATCAGTTCTAATAGGTTTTGTTGGGGTCTTTAGGATTCTTTATATATAGTATCATGCCATCTGCAAATAATGACAGTCTCACTTCTTTCTTTCCAACTTGGATACTTGTTATTTCATTTTCTTGTCTGATTGCTGTGGCTACAGCTTCCAATACCAGGTTGAATATGAGTGGTGAAAGTGGACATCCTTATCCTGTTCCTGATCTTAGTGAAAATGCTTCTAGTATGTACCATTAAGTATCACATTTGCTGTGAGTTTGTCATATATGTCCTTTATTGTGTTGAAGTATGTTACCTCTATTCCCATTTTGCTGAGTTTTTATCATAAATGGAGGTTGAATGTTTTCAAATTCCTTTTCACATCTATTGATATGATCATATGATTTTATCCCTCATTTTGTTTCTGTTGTGTATCACGTGAATTGACTTGTGGACATTGAGATAACCTTGCGTTCCAGGAATAAATCCTAGTTTTTAATGTATTGCTGAATTCAATTTGTTAATATTTTCTTGAGGATTTTTATAGCTAATTTCATCAAGAATATTGGCCTACAATTTTTATTTTTTAAATGTCTATTTCTGGTTTTGGAATGAGGATAATTCTGGCTTTGTAAAATGAGTTTAAGAGCCTTCCCTCCTACTGACATTTTTTATTAGTTTGAGAAAGATACGTGTTAGTTCTTTGAATGTTTGTAAAAAGTTAATGTGTGAAGCCATCTGTTACAGAACTTTTGTTTATTGGAGTTTTATTTTTTAAATTACTGATTCAGTTTCCTAAGTAGTTATTGGTCTGTTCATATTTTCTATTGCTTCTTGATTCAGTCTTGGAAGATTGTATATTTCTAGGACTTTACCTACTTCTTCAAGATTGTACATTTTGGGAAGACAAAATGGTGGCGGAATAGGTGGATGTGTCCAGAGCCTTGAGCAAGAGCAGATTGAATGAGCAACTAAATTGAATAACATCCACCCTGAATTGGCAAAGTAGACACAGCTAGTGAGACTATTCGCAGCTGGGAAGGGCAGAGGATGCCTAGAGAACAGTAAAATCATGGATGTAGGCTGGAGAGAACTGTGAGACCTCCGAGCCCAGAGGGTCAGAAGGAAGCTGCACAGCACAGAGGCCACATCCCTTGGGACAGGGGTAGCATCTGACTGTGGAAAGGATGTCCACAGGACTGCTGGTGGGAAGGGATTCTAGATCTAAGTCCACAGCCATGAGATACTGAGCCCAGAGGGGGCAGCCATTCAGAGGGGAGAGGGATTAGCAGTGGTGCAGCTCTTTCTCCTCTTTTTGGTCTTTGCTTTTATTTCCTAAACCTAGTTCACAGGAACTTTCAAATACAAACACTCACCCGTAGCTGAAGTGCAGGTGGAGGTGCAGACTTGTGGAGTCTGGGGGAGAGGCTGGGGAGAGGAGAGGGTCTGGGAAAGGTGGCCGAAAGTCTGGCGCTGAGTCATTGCTGACATGCTGGACCTAGGCAGCTATTTTATCCTGAAGAGATAGCCCCTCCCTGCAGTCTCCAGGCAACCAATACAGCCACACCCAGACTACACCCTGAGTGGTACAAAGGATACAAAAAAAAATCTGAATAGTCCCTGAGAGTCCTCAGGGACAGGCTTAAAAGAGAGGCCGTTCAGTCCCAGCAACAGGAAACTGAGAAACGGCAGACAGTACGGAAGAGTGGGATCTTAAACCAGCCCTCATGGGGAATTAAAACTCGGCGGAAAGGAACAACACTTCACTTTTTCATTTTTATTTTATTTTATTATTATTTTGTTATCTCTTTTTTCTGTATTTTCCCTTTTTTGTTTGTTTCCTTTTTTTAAAAAAGGTTGGTAAATTCTTTTTTAAAAAATATATATATTTTATTGATTTTTTACAGAGAGGAAGGGAGAGGAATAGAGAGTTAGAAACATCTATGAGAGAGAAACATCGATCAGCTGCCTCCTGCACACCCCCACTGGGGATGTGCCCGCAACCAAGGTACATGCCCTTGACCGGAATCGAACCTGGGACCTTTCAGTCCGCAGGCTGACACTCTATCCACTGAGCCAAACCGGTTAGGGCTCGTTTGTTTCTTTATTTTCTATTTCTTTTTGCATTATTTTTCATCATTCAAATTTTTTTATTTTATCCTATTTTTAATTTTTTTTTAAATTTATTATTTTTTCTTCTCTTTCTCTTTCTTCTTATCCACTCATCCTCTTTCTACTTCCTCTATACTGAACTGAGGTCCTCCCCATATTCATCCAATTCCTTAACCTTACTTTCTGTATATAAACTCAACCTCTACAGATTCTGCCCCCACCTTCTTTGCTGGGTATTTGGTGTTTGTATGTTTTGGTATATCTGTTTGTTCTCTGGTGTTTTCTCCATATATCTGTATATATATA